AAATTGCTTCCTGCTGTTTGTCCTTGAACCGACTAACTAGAAATGGGCGAAAATAAAAGACCATGTATTTTTCAATCAGCCAAGTGCAACAAATAACAACGAGTGTTGTTCTGTGGAAAAGATTTTCAGCCTCCCTATATTTTCTTGCCGTCTGTTGTTGTTTGGATTTTCCTGCGTGGCATTGTTTGTTTGCAGCAAATTGAACATTTTCATTAGATTTTCCTTTTCGCAATTGGTTAGGGTGGGGTTGTGGAGAAGAAAAGCCCTGGCACATTCAATTGTAATGCCCAGGAGAGCGATTCAATTGAATTTGTTTGTTTTAGTATACGGTTCATTTATTTGCAAAGGCGAATGAATAAAAGCAGCGGCCATACATTGGTTTTCGTGTGCAATTTGAACTTTGCCAAACTTCCGGTCAAATGGCGAGAGAGCTTCTGCCTCATAACATATGCCCAGGTATTGTTCAAGTGCAGATCCAAGTAGTTCTTATATATTTCAGGTGTGTTCTCACCACCCCTTTTCGCCATGTGAAAGTTCTGCCCCTAAAGTTTCTTGCTTCCGCCATTTTCCCGGGGGACCTCTTAAGATTTCATTGTGCAAATTTACTGCGGCATTCTTTGTCCTTTCTGCCACGCGAATAAAACAAAGAAGCGGCCAAGAAAACAGGAAAAAACAGAGAACGACAAACGACGGCAAATTCAAATCGCGAACTGCTTAAAAATGAACAACAAATGAAATTCCCATAGGTGGCTGAAAGTTTGCCGCGTCTGCAGGCATTTAAATGGCAACGGTGGCGTATACACTCAGAAAATGAATCGCCCTGAATTTTAGAAAATCGCCTATGGATTTGCTTCACTGGCGATTTTTTCTTTAAAATAAAAAAATTTTCTACTGGTAAAGAAAATTTTCTTCCAATTAATCAAAATTCATTAAATTCAAGAAATATTCCAGAAATATAGAAAAAAATCGCCAGTAAAGCAAATCCATAGGCGATTTTCTAAAATTTTTTTTTGAGTGTACGCAACGCCGCGGAAATCTCCTCAGCTGTGCCACCGAAAACTTTTCCATCCTGCTGCCTGCTCCTTTCACCTGCTCTCCTACGTCTGCGAAGGGGCAACATTTAATGTCATGTTTGTAAGTTTCTAGACGATGCCAACATGTTACTTTTGGCCCAGCCCCGGCGATTCCTTCGTCCTTCCTTTAAGGTCCTTCCCCTTGATCCCGGGCTTTCCGGTTTTCCAGTTTTCCGGCGGCAGAAAGTCACTTTCTGGCATTTTCACACAAACAGAAAATGTCTGCAAAGTCGCAGATTCAGCTCTAATTCAGAAGCTTTAAGTCTCACAAATTAAACTATTTAGCGGCATTTCTATAATTGATTTTGGGGTACATTTAAACATATTACAAACTGTAGATTAAACTGGAATTTTAATTTTTTGGAAATTAAAAATGAAACAATATTTTAGATATTCTAATATTTTTAAGTAATCCAACTAATACTTAATTTAATATTTATCAGAATTTGTTTAATTGATTTTTGTATAAATATAAAATAATACATAATGCTGCTCTTATATTTTAAAGCAATCCAACTAATCCTACTTTAAATTAACAAGGCAGAACTATAGACAAGCGACTTGTCAAAGTCAACATGACAAAAGTTTTCAATATGCTCAGACATTATCCTCCAATGGCATTATAAACAATTCATAAACATACTCGCAGGCAAACACCCACAACTACAGGCAGCCGGGAAGATTATGTCAGAGACAATCGGATTAATATCAGACAAGAACAGCTCTGAGCACAGGGCAAACATCAATGAGACGACAAATTGTTATGAAAAGGGGTTCCAAACGGGGGAAAACTTATTCGGGGAAAAGGAAAGGAAAGGAGGTTGGGAAAAAGGATTGCAATTGCTTTGTTGCCTCAGCTAATAATGTTGATCTGATTAGCCAAGGACCGCGGGGCAATTGCTGAGTAGACTTTACAATTAAATCACGGAAACGGCTAAATGACTGCCAGACAAATAAGTCGACTTACTTGACTTTGCCTTTGCCTTTGCCTCGCCCTCATTAACTCCCCTTCCCCCCTTGAATATGTGTCAAAAGTTTGCATTTGAAGTAATTAAATTTAAATTGAATTCACCCACTGAGTCTGGGAAAAAAAATTAATAAAAGCGGGAAAAGCAGAAGGCAGGAAACTTTTTTAATCCTTTGCTCATTTGTTTTTCTTATCTCCTCCTCTCTTTTTTCGGGTGCGTGAAGTGGGTTCGGGGATTGCGTTTGGTTTCGGGGCTCCCTCAGCATTTCCGTGTTATTAAAACTTTGAATGAAAAACTTTACTGCGTAATGGATTTGAATAAAACGAAATATGCTGCACTGACTGCACTTCAATAAAACTGCTTTATTTAATTATCAAAATGGGGAAAAAAAATTAATAAGAGCATGTTGTAAAATGAGGGAATTATTTTTAAATTTTTTTAATATTATTTAAAATAAATATGAGTGCTTGTTGAGTTTTAATTGTAATCTCAAGTAATCCAAGTTATTTTAAAAAATATGCGCACTTCTTGGCCAATTTACTCAACTGGTTTCGCACACATTCCCGGTTACTTTAACACTACTTGAAATTGTGCCGGGCTCTCAGTTATCGATGGTCGTAAAATGCAAGCGCTCCGAAATGAAGCCATAGAATGGTGTTGTGGCACTTGCGGAATACGGCAATGGGCTATACGAGTGTCGCACACACAACTCTTTCCAACCAGATCCAGCTCTAATCGCTCCCAGTCCAGCGATACCCCCTCCCTACTCCACCCCATGCCATCACCCATCCGCCTCCCCACCGCAACTGTATTCCGCTGTTTTCCAGCCCACTCATGTTGCATGTTGCATCCGCTGGCGCATTGACTTTCATGTCGCGCCCCTTGCCAAATGAGTCACAATTAAAACCGATCCGTGCGAGAATCTCAGAAGACTAATCGCCAAAGGTGATACCCATTAAAAATTATTTGAAAAAAAACGTAATTTAAAATGTTTGATTGAACAACGTCGTTTGATAAACCACTAACAAATTACATTCGGCATCATTGGAACTTTCCTAAATAAACTATTTCCTTTTTGTAAGTAAATAAAATATATATATACCACCGTTTAATATTTTTTCCAAAATACATTAATATCATAATAACACTTTAATATATTTTTTAAAGTTAAGAATACAATTTACCATAATTATCCATATTCGCCATTGATCTGGGTGCCTTAACTCCATTATCCCAACGAATATCCCCAGCCTTTCTCAATGGCCGCGGGGTATTGAAAGACTTACCTTACTAGAAAGCGAAAGCTAAATTGTTATTGCAACATGCAACCGCAACTGCCAAAGCAACAACAGCGATGGCAGCATTAACCACTATGTGGCTGCGTCGTCTCGCAATAATTGTGAGCAAATATTACACGAAAGCGCGGAAAAACGAGTGGGGTTGTGAGGCTCGAGGGGCTCCAGATTGGCGGGGCAAACGGCATATTATCGTGGCAGGCGATGACGATAACCGCAACAACAATGCAACATCATAATTATCGACCCGCTCCACTCGATTTTCCCTCCCACCCCCAAACCGCTGCGGCAATTATGCCAAAAGCGCGTTTATTATGTGAAAAGAAACCAAAGATAAAATATTGAATTCAAGTCAGAAAAAAATCAAACGTTGGCTTAAATCATTTGAGGAAAAGCCGTCAAGGAAATTGAGTAGCAAAAAAAAAGTGTGTATGTTCGTTCGAGTAAAAGAAACCAAATAAAAGGCAAGGTAAAAAAATGCAATATATAACGAAAGTTGTTGGTGCTTAGAGTTGCTTGTCGGCGGTGCATTTTACTCTTTTTAGAGCACGTTTCTGCGGCCTGTTACGAAATCAATCCGCAGTTGCATTCAAACTTCAGCAACATCCAACGGTAAACAATTAAAAGGCTCACAGAGGCAGCACAATTGGCACATTTAATTGATAATTAAATTATGTGAAATTTTGAAGAAATTATTCAACTGATCATCATGCAATAAAATTGGGAGCAAAGCAGGTAATTGTTTCCGCTGAGTTGGTGGCTTCATATTATTAGTGGCTGTCGATCTCGAAGAGTGTTGATGGGCAAATAAAATATTTTTATATGGTTGGGTTGGTGTTTAATCTATATATAAGTAATATATACAATTAATTGGTAACCATTTTTACCGGAAGAAGTAACCTTAATAATATTATTTAAAATCATTTTCGTATATTGTCTAAAGAACTTGTTTTCCTAGCTTTAATTCAATCGAACTTAGCACTTTTCACATGCCATTGTATTGCAAAATGTCAGTTTGGCAGAGCCACAGTGTCATTGAATTGATTTACCAACGCCCATTGCTAATTGACAGCGGCATTCATTAGCCTCTTCCTGTCCCCAAACACCCGATCGACAATTGACAAGGGGGTGGAAAGGGGGTGCAATGTGCTGAAGGGGTTCGAAAGGGGGCGGGGCTTTTGGCGACAGGATGATGATGGCGGGTGCAAACATGCTGAGCACACAGACGCCGCTCGGTTGCAGTTTCAGTTGCATGTGCCCCAGTTTCCGTGACCGCTGCTGCCTGCCATGAATTTCCCCGCCTTCCGTTTCCCGTTTGCCACTGCCGATTTTCTATTTTTTTCGCGTTCACCATCGCCACTATGACATAATGACGCGCCGCTCGGCTTTTGATTGATCGATCGAGTCGGAAACGGGAACAAAAACCGAAAACCGGGAGAGCCGGCAGGCTGAGCCAACAGCGAGGTGTCGAAGTTGTTACAAATCAATAAAAATAAAAATTGTAAATTTAACTCATTTTTTCAACTGACTACATTAAAAGCCTTTAGGCTTTCGAATTCGTTTGAATTTTAATGTGTAAAATTACAGGCTTTAAAATTGGTAATCTATTTAATGATTGGAAGTGTAATAAATTAGATTGAGCTCAGTTTAAATTTAAAAATCTATTTCAATTGCTTTATACTTTATTACTCACAGGAGGTAAGTTAATTAACCAATTAAGGGATCGAAATGTGTCACAGGAATTTGGATATGGGCTTGAATCTCGCAAACGCAGTATTAAACATAATTTAGATACTGTAATTGTATACCACAATTTGGACTTCGTTTCTAGTTAACTATCAAAGTTGCTCTACGATCCATTGCAACTTGAATCGCAAGCATTAGTAACGCACTTTGGAGGTGGTTTCAAAGAAAGATCGGCTTCAACCATTTCTCCATCAAACTCGACTTCTGCATCAGACTCTTCCTCAGACTCCACACTGTTTTCTTCGTCATCCTGAATGGGTATCAACTTATTGTTTTGCTTATTTTTGATCTTCTTTTTCTGTTTGGCCAAGCCGAGTTCGCGAAGCTTGACCCACATGACCTTGGTGGCATAGACGGCAACGGCGGCGGCTGCCAACCACGGGTGGTGCATCATCATCCGGGCTCCAGAAGTCGTTGTATCGACGGGTTCTGCAGTGGTCGTATCGGGCACTGGGGCTGCCACCTCTTCAACCGGTCCAGCAACCGGCGAGTCCTCACCTCCCGCACCTGGTGCTTCCTCCTCACTCATCTTGCAATGGAATTGGGCTCAAAAATAATTCCGGATCTAGAAAAATGGGAAAACGGTCTAATTTCGACTATGTTTTTGAATGTAATATAATTTTGTTTGAAGGGTTCACCAATGTTTCTTGACAGTTTATAATGTGGTTCCTGTTCCAAAAACTTTGTATACTCAGGCAACATATTCTTTTTAGCAATTACTTTCTTAAAAATCATTAGACAAAATGAATAAAAATTCCAATTAGCAACCGCGATTTTTTTAAAATAAAAAGACTACACAAGATGTTCTGGAGATTCTTTTGATCCATTGTCGAAAATTCGCAGTTCAGATATCCTGATTTTAATAGTAATCTTTGAAACACTCAGGACCATGCCAAGCACGTTAATCATAAGAAACCTGGAAATACATTTACGCATCCACACCGAAAATTCCAATTACTTATTTACGTCTATTATTCTTTATTTAATTAAACAAACTCCCAATTTCCATATGGCTTATAATATATTATATTATACATCGCAGCATTAACAGAAAACCAATTACACTAATTGAAATATCGAAATGTTTTACAAGAATTTTGTTTGATAATATTAAACTAACAATTTGTGTCCATATGTTAAGGTTCCTCGCTGATTATTCCCTACCTAAATCGCAAGCATTACAACAACTAGTGTCTTTGTTTTGTACAATGGTGTAGTCTCCGTTTAAGAGTCCTTCATCCCCGAATCAACTATCAAAATTCAGCAGGTGGAACTTCGATTGATCGATAGTTTCCATCTGGATTGTCCAGGATCGGAAGATTAAGATCCCCTTCCTTCGTGCTTTGAACTTCAGGACCGATCTCATCCTCTGCCTCCGATTCAGATTCAGAACCATTCTCTTCCTCGTTATAATGCAAGGGCTTCGACTTTTCTTCTCGTTTTTTGAGCCGCTTTTTCTGCTTGGCCAGGCCGAGCTCCCGGAACTTGACCCACATGACCTTTGTGGCATAGACGGCCACTGCGGCGGCCGCCAACCACGGGTGGTGCATCATCATTCGAGCCCCGGAAGTGGTGGTATCGGGTGGTGCAGCGGTGGTGGTATCTGGTGGTGGCGGTGCAGCCACAGCCTCTGTCTGTCCTGCTCCTGGCGACTCTTCGCCTCCTGCACCAGGTGCTTCCTCTTCACTCATATTGGACTAGAAAACGGGAGAGTATTGAAAATCTCTATTAAATTTACGACAAATAATTCAAGAAACCAAAAGAAAATATCTTCTAAAGTTTTTTTTTAATTTTTTCTGAATTTTTTTGAAAGCTTATCGAATGTATCCAAAAACGTAGACAATTTTTTTTATTATTTTTTTTTCACTTGCCTGTTGAGGCTGAAAAAACTGTTAGGTCAGAGAAGTGTTCTCTTCTACTTGTTACTGTTTAGGTGACTGGCGTTGGAATGAACGAAGTGTACTGCCAAACAGATCATCTGGTCAAGATGTTTAAAGCATAGACAGTTTGATCGAGAAAAATGTTAATTCAAAATAAATCCTGAATCTATTGAACAAAACTGTTTAAAAGGAAAATTACGCTAATAGTACAAGGTCAATGGCCGAATAAGTGTAGTCTAAAAGTTATAATAAGTGCCGCGGTATTCAAAACCATGAATTCCCTAATAAAATGCTCTTTAAAATGTCTTATTTTTAAAAATTTCCCTTATATAAAATCCATTTAGTGCCTAAAAAATTAAATATGCAATAACGCTAAGGTAAGAAAAGAACGGTGGCACAAGAATATCAAGATCTATATAGGGCTAAAAACAAACACCTTTCAATTTAGAAGAACAATTTATTTAATCAAACTGTCTATGCCTGAAACTTCTGTTTGGCAGTACACCTCAGTCCAATAACCTAATCAGTAACAAACATACGAGAGAACTAGTTAGACCTATACATTTTTTCAGCTTCAAAAGGCAAGTAACAAAATTATTAAAGAAAAATTATTCAAATTTCGATAAAGCAACAGAAATTTTGGAACGTTCTTTTTAATTTATACTTTTCTAGACCAATATGAGTGAAGAGGAAGCACCTGGTGCGGGAGGTGAAGAGTCGCCAGGAGCGGGACAGACAGAGGCTGTGGCTGCACCGCCACCACCAGATACCACCACCGCTGCACCACCCGATACCACCACTTCTGGGGCTCGAATGATGATGCACCACCCGTGGTTGGCGGCCGCCGCAGTGGCCGTCTATGCCACTAAGGTCATGTGGGTCAAGTTCCGGGAGCTCGGCTTGGCTAAACAGAAAAAGCGGCTCAAAAATGGAGAGAAAAAGTCGAAGACCCTGCAGGATAACGAGGAAGAAAATGATTCTGTATCGGAATCGGAGGCGGAGACTGACGAAGAAGATGAACTCGGTGCAGAAGTGCAAAACATCAACGAAGTGGATCTTCAGACGGGACTCTTATCAAATCGCTTGGAAATGGACGACTCAGATGGAAACTATCGATCAATCGAAGTTCCGCCCGCCACCTTTTGATACTTGATTCGGGGATGAAGGACCATAAAACGTACACTACACTATCACACCGAACAAGGACACTTTGTTGTAATGCTTGCGCTTAAAGTAGGGAAGGATCACTGAGCATCGTTGGAAAATGACCACCACAACGAGGGGGACACAAATTGTTAATTTTATTATTCAAATTGTATAACGTTTCGATATCTTAGTTTTTATTGGTTCTCACAAGCCAAGGTGCAATAAATAACATAATTTGAAAAATTTTTATTAAAAAATATTTGAAACTTACAAAATTAATAAACTTAATGAAAAAACCTCTACAAATCTTAATTTTGTGTTCTTAAATTTTGTGCCGTTTGGTTGTGCTTATTAATACCTATCGATATGTAGAAGAAAATCTGACCATTCATTAAAAAGTTGAGCAAATAATGAAATGCTAGCAGTGCAAGCAGTCGCTTTGCACTTCCATTATATGAGTAACCGGTATCTCATAGTCGAGGTACTAGACTATAAAGGCTAGAAAGTTTAGATTAAGCAAGCAGGTTCATCAGAGTGCCAAATCGATGAAAAAATTAAAGGATCTTTTATTTTCAAACCTATCTTATTGTTTAAATACATTTTTTCAGTCTATGTTTTTTATTACACCTAACTATCATCGCAGTTTATGAGAACCGATAAAAACCAATTAAAATATCAAAATGTTGTACAAGAATTTAGGTGAATGTTATAAAACTAACAATTTGTGTCCCCCAATGTGGTGGTAATTTTCCAACGTTGCCCAGTAATACTCCCCCTACTTCAAGCGCAAGCATTACAACAGAGTTTCCTTGTTTAGTGTGATAATGCAATGTCCTCTCAAGGTCCTTCATACCCCATTTGAGTATCAGAAATCGGCGGGCGGCACTTCGATGGATCGATAGTTCTCATCTGGGTCCCCGAATTTCACCAGATTCGTTGCGAATCCCGACTGAGAATCCATTTCTCCAAAGTTTTGAACATCGGGCCCATTTTCGTCCTCTTTTGCATCAGACTCTACCTCCGATTCCGAACCATTTTCTTCGTTATCCTGTAAGGGTTTCGACTTTTTCTCCCGATTTTTGAGCCGCTTTTTCTGCTTTGCCAGGCCGAGCTCCCGGAACTTGACCCACATGACCTTGGTGGCATAGACGGCCACTGCGGCGGCCGCCAACCACGGGTGGTGCATCATCATTCGAGCCCCAGAAGTGGTGGTATCGGGTGGTGCAGCGGTGGTTGTATCTGGTGGTGGCGGTGCAACTTCAACCGGTACCGCTCCGTCTCCTGGAGACTCCTCACCTCCCGCACCGGGTGCTTCCTCTTCACTCATTTTGGACTGAAAATTGGGGAAAGGTAAAGAAAATATCCATTAAATTTGAAACACATAAGATTTCCGAAATAAATTTAACAAACAAATTTTTGTACGCACTTGCCTGTTGAGGCTGAAAAAACGGCTAGGTCAAAACAAATTTCTCTTAAAATAGTTGTTACCGGTTTGGGTGATGGCGTTGGAATGAAATGTACTGCCAGCCAGATGTTTCAAGTCTTGGCAGTTCAAAAAAACAGCCTGCTGAGGTTGAATTAAAAGGTTCCTGAGTAAGTACAATGGAATAAAATGAATTTTCGTAACAAAAAAATAAATGTTATTGTACATTTCTAAAACAAAGAGTATCAGCATTTATCTAGAGGCACAATGTTTTTGTAGCATCTGACTTCTATTAAAAACACATTTGTTACTTAACTTAAATATTATACTGATAAAAGCTATTAAATATAACCAAATTACCCCACTGTTTCGGTTAGCTACGAATGGCCTACTAAGGTTGATAGTTTCCCAAATTGGTTTCAAATTATCTTAAGCCTGCAAAGCCATTTGGAGCTGCAAAACTAATGATGTCTGCGGAATATTCTAGATGAACTGGCACTTCCTTCCTTCACTTTTATCACTGCTGGCTGCTCTGGTGTGCGATTTATATTTCATAAGTTGATGAATTTTGTAACAAGTTGTCACATTTGCCAGCTGTGAGTTGTAGTCTGCGTCTCCCCTTCCCATCCACGTTATCATTTGGGTCTCAGCCAAGCGACAAATGACACAACGCAAACAAATGCAATTTGCATTTGCATTTCAACGTATACGTACGAGTGAGCTTGTTTGAGTCAGTCTGCACATGTGTGTGTGTATGAGAAGTGAGTACCGGGTGGTGTTAATTTCGTACGCAAACATTTCAATTTCGTCGCCAGTTTTTACTTCAACCACACAACGCCTTTCATTCAAATTTATTTGGTAAAAAACATCTTGTAGTAATTTATTTACTTTGAATTCTTGCAAATTTTAAATAGCACCATAGAAGACTTAAAAAATATTATTAACGGTATATTATTATTTTATTATAATGTGTTCCATTTATTTTTATAAAATTTGAAGCTATCGAAGTACCTTAAAATTTTTCCTTATTTTTTTTAAGCAAAAACAAATAAAATCCCTTAAAATAAATAAAACTTTCTTTAAATTAAAAAAATTTTAGAAATTTTTCCCGATTAATTAAAGTCCATGAACACCTGAACGTGTTATAAATCTGTTCCACTACACCTGGCATCCAATTCCTCATCTCTTCTTGACTCTCGCCAATTCCATCTTCTCCAGACTTCAATATGTCACGACTATCAATTTCGGCTCCATTGCGATTTCGATTGGATTTGGATTGTTATGTGCGGAGAAGTCATAAACATTCAATGTGCAACGTGGCGTATGAGCAACACACGAAATCCATCTCGACCTGCCACAGATGTAAATTTTGATCGATGTCCACCGTGTATCCGAGAAATTGGGAGCATTTCAATTACGTTCCCAGTTTCCGCATTTTCGCTGACTTCGAATTAATTCATAAATCCATGAGATATAATTTTAAATTCTTAAAAATTAAAAACAACTTAATCCTTTCACTATCGAAATTAACTTGAAATCTATCTTTAATTTCACCGTCGACATACATTTAATCACTGGCACATAAAATATTTATCGCACATAGTGGCGGAATATTTTCTTTTTGTGCCACTTGGCGATTAAAATCATATGGCGAGAACAATGAGTGATATTCCACGAGACCTGCATAATTTACCGCTCCGGAAGTCGCCGCGGATGTCGAGAGTTTAAATGCGGCGTCTGCTTTTCCACCCACCGCCGCCCCTACACAATTTTCCTACCCATAAGTAGGCTACACCAGCCGACTTGCACTGTGTTTTATTTTTCCTCTTCCTTTTTTTTATTTTTACACTGCCTGCATTGTTAGCCTGCTGCTACTTTTTTCATATTTTTTGGCAGCCATTTTATTGTTGCATAAAGTTTCCAATTGCACAATGAAAATGGGGGAGGGAAAGGGAACCACCCCCAAACTTTATGCCCACGCCCCTAAAGTTTTCTGGGCTCTGCAAATGCATTAAAACAATGCCAAAATTCTGAGGCCCACAAAGGGGAGAAAGACCAAGGGATAATGGGGGGAAATTGCGGCCTTATAGCTAGGCAAATATTAACTTCTGTCATCTGGTACCTTTGCCAGGACCATAAAGTAACATTGACATCCAGATTTATGTATCATCATGTCGACATTCCGCATAGACAACTTTTCGGTGATTTTCTCTATGAACTTTACTTCTCTAATGCGTGTTTGTTCACATATTTTATTGGCCTCGATGGCTCGTAATTCCCAGCGAACACACACACAACACTTTTCGCACGCAGTTTTCCGGCTCCATTTTGCCCCATTTTCCATTACCATTTCCCGGTTCCCTTTTTGTCATTGTGAACTTACTTTTGGGTCTTTCGCCTTGAAAGCGCCATAAATCTTTTTATGATTTTAGCTTCTCCTTCAGCAATGACTTGATTCGCCTTTTTCGCAGTGATTGTTATTGCGACTGCGACTCCGATTCCGACGATTGTGACGCATACAAATTTGGATGTGTTAGTCACTAATACTTGCGGATCCCGTGACCCCAACCACCATGCAATTTTACTAACAGATGTACCCTCTTTAGTGAGGTTAAAACGGGGTTAATTTAATATATAGTCTAATCAAAATAAATAAAAAATGTTTAAATAGAAAATATATGTTGTATATTTTATAAGGATTGATAGAGTTTTGTTTTTGAAATTATGTCAATTTATTTTAACACTCTTCTATTGTTTTTAATAATTAAAAAATTATTTAATAAATATAATTATCTTATTAAAAAAAAAGCTAAATATTTGATTTTTTTAAAATAAAAAATTTAATATATAAAATAACAAAAATGTGTCATTTCATTTTCCATTATTTTTAATAGGTATAAAATGGCTTTATAAATTTAAGAGCTTTGTCTAAGACGTAAGGTACATTTTTTTATTTTTAAAAATAAAATCTTAATTTTTACAATTTTTGAGTTTTTTACATAGGGTAATGTCTGCTTTGATCCCTTGTAGTAAACCCCATTTGAGCAATTTTCAACAAACATTTCGCGGCAGCACGCAACGCCATTTTGGCGACGAACACCATGAAAACGGAAAATGGCCCAAACACGCGACGTCCCCGGCTGACGGGAAAAAATGGTTCTAGGACGAAAAGCCTGGGGATCCGCTTTTCGGCCAGCCCACCATGGCGCCAATGGCAAAAACAACAGCAGCAACAGCGAATGGCTACAAACGTGGCCTTAAGAAGAGCGCCACAGTTGGTTTGGGTTCGGCATAAGCCAGGCGCCAGCAAAGTTGTAAAATCGGCAAATGGCATATAAAAATCGCTGGAATTGTTGTCGTCACAGTACAGAGTCGGATTTGGATTTGGATGTGGATTTGGTGTGCGGGATCTGGGATCTGGGCTTGGACTGTTAGCGCCAGCCAGACTAGTTCAACTTCCTCATAATGCACGGCAGTTGGGCGAGGTGAAAGGCTATGGCGAGGCAAACAAATTCGCTTGATTAATAAACCGATTCTGGGTCAACGATGCGTTATTGAGAGGATTATAAAATCAAAAATTTAAGTCCTGAATAAATGAGTTTATGGTCAAATTTATTCGATATCATAAAACTTTTATTGGCAGTAAAGAGTTAATATTCGGAAATTTATAAAATGTTCTGCAATTAAGGCGAGAGAGACTTAATCTGTATAATTGCAATGACGTTGGGTAAAATATTTTATACAACTTCCACTTACCTGAAACAAAAGTAAAATACAAATTAAAAAAATTATTCCGAAATTGTTAGAATTTTAATTTGATCCTTATTTAGCACGAAAAAGAACTTATTACTTTTTATACTTGGAAAATAATTTTTTTTTTCATAAATATTTTATAATGCTTGAATCATTTGAATTATAATTACGACAAAACTTTCCCCATATAATTCAATCAATCTTAATTAAGCATGGCTTTAATATTCACCATTAGAACTCTTTAAATTTGGAACCTAATGGCCCTGTAAAAAAGCCCCAAGTAATTAAGGTCAACGTGTGATAAAAGGCTTGTAGCCTTGCTCATTATTTCCTTTTTTACTTTTTTCGCGGGCATGAAAACTTTTATTAATTGTATGACATAAGCTCGATGGGCAGCCGAGGTTGTTGGTCATCGGGGTTTGGGGGAAAAGCGTGAAAAGCTGGAAAAACTGGCACAAATCATTACACACGAGTGCCAGGACAACGTTGACAGCGGCCAATTCACACACACACAATGCAAATTAGCGTAGCCGTTTTATGCAATGCCATCGAGTCATTAACACATTGACGTCCTGCGTCCTACGTCCCGCGTCCTGGATCCTCAATCCTGAATACTCATTCCTGAATCCTGAATCCTGTGCATGGGTCACAGTTCACAGTTCGAGTGTGCGTGTGGGCGAGCATTAGTGTCATCAGCATTCGTGGCCCGTCACATCAACACCATTCTGCGAGGACGATGAAGGACGAGGGAGGACGAGGGTGCTGAAAGGACCTCATTTCGGGCTCATCCTCGTGCCTTTACATTAATTGAAATTAGCTGACTGACACGGAAAAAAGTCCAGCGATTAATGGGTTTTAGGGATTTAAAGAGTCGGGAGTACTTTCAATCTCACGAGGGTTGCGTAATTAATATTGATTACTCGTCTTGAATTGAGTTTTAAGCATTGAAAAATAAAACCTCCAGATATTTAAGTAATCTGTTAAAAGAACAAAAAGCAAATGGGCAACAAACGAAGAAATTTAAATATGTGCAAATATTATTAAATAAATTTTCGGGGTGATTAATTGCTTAGAAAAGTGGAAAATATATAATGTATAATAAAATATATATAAAACTTTAAGTCTAAAAACCAATGACACAAATTAATACTTCCTATTAAACTAAAGCAAATTGAACTAACTAAAGTAAAGTCCCATTTGACCTAAAAGACACTTTGACTAGAAATGCATTTTAAATGACCATCAAGCTGAGGTTCATTAATCGAGTCCTTGTACCACCGAAAATCCATCTTGAGAGCTTGGCACCGCAGTCCCGTTTACCATTGAAAGATTTGCCCCTGCCTACGAATCGAAACTCGAGCACATCGTCATCATCATCAGGGCTCGAGGACGACAAACGACACGAAATATGGAAAAATGAAAAGGAAAAATTTCGGAGCACACAGCTGCCAACCAGCCAGCCATCCAACCATCCATCTATCCATCCATCCAGTTCAAAGCCAGCTGCAGCTTAATCCCAAAGCTTTGGCATTGCTTTGGATCAGCCACTACACAGGGTACCGAGTATAGAGTACGTATAGAGTGCAGTTCAGTTCAGTTCAGGTGCAGGTGGATATATGTGCGATGATAACGATGATGATGATGATTGCGATGGCGGCAAGAACGCTTGACAATGACGCCATTGAAAGCACTTTTTCCAGCATTATGTGGCTGTGTGAATCCGGAGATGAAGGCAGAATCTGAGGTTGCGATTGCGGTTGGGTTTGGATTGAGTTGGAGGATGAGAAGGCGGTGCAGGAGTTTTCGGTTTGGCAATCAAAAAGTCATCAAATATGAATTTTACGCTATAATTTTTCACCTGAGCAGGGGGATCCACCCATCCACCAGCGTTTAGCTGCCATTTTTATGGCTTTTCTAGCTTGTGCACGCCCTTTGGCACGTCTTTCAACTCAATTGCACTTTTGTGCATTTCTTAAAAAACTTCTACCCGTGTGTAGATGCGGAGGTGTCTTCCATTTTGTATGTGCTGCAATATACGAGTGTTCGGGAATATATAGACAGATGTTGGCAGACACATTTGAATTGATGGAAGTGTGTCCTGTGGCTTTTTCGCAAAATATTCAATTCAATATGGGAACGCATGTTGATTGAAAGCGATTGGGAAACGAAATCAACGGAGAAGTGGCGAAACTTGAGGGCAAACTTTACGGATAAAGTCAAGTGTTGAGATATCCCAAAGTTTTTATTTGTACAGCTTGGCATTAATCGCTTCGGGAATTTAAGCCTTGAAAGCTGAGATTTCTGCTTCAAAAAACCAAGTGTTTAATTAATTGAATTTATAGAAACAGTCAACTAATTAAAGGCAAAATATATTTATTAAAGCTTAAATATTATTTAAGGTTTAATATATAATCTAATAGATAGATGGAATATTTTACCTATAGACAGAAATCTTAAATTGTTAATTTCAAAATCCCCCAGCTTTTACTTAAAATATATATTTTAATTAAAGTTTGATAAAGAAAAACCTGAGCAACGGCCTCATATAATATCCGTATATTAAACATGTTTCTTTTCTAGTTTTTTTCTTACTTGCTTTTTATATTTACTTTTTGGTCTGTTTTTTGTTATGCTGCTCAGGGAACTTCTGTGCTTTTTGTGTTGGGCAAAAATTAAATTAAAGTTTATGCAAGCGTAACGGCAGCCAGCAAAAATCATTTGCCACAAAATCCACTAAAACCCAATTTTGTGCCAACAAATAAAATGAAACACGCACAAACAGCAGCGACGGCAGTAGCGAAATAGCAACAAAGAGCGAGTCCTGGGCGAGCATGTGTAGAAATAACAGGACCAAGAAGGAAAACCAGCCATCCAAGGAGCAGACAAACTGATGCACCCAAGAAAAACGCAGCAAAAAACACAGCAGCAGCAGCAACAAAAGCAAAAATCAGCCTCAAGACGTTGCAGTAGTTGCAAAAGAGAACGATGTGAGCACACTGCTAGAAAAACCTAATGACAAAAGAAACTTTTCATATAAAATGCAAAATTCCTATAATGCTTTTAAATTTTACGATAAAAGGTTTTCATTCAATAATAACACTCTTAATCGAAATTTCTAAAAAAATAACCGTATTTTGGAAATGGTTTTTTTAGAAAATTTTTAAAAAAATTTTAAAAAAAAAAAAAAAAAAAAAATATTACCAAACGTTAAATGAATTCGTTTGGATCTAACGTTAAATATCTATTGTTTGGTAAGACTTAATTCTAAAAAAAAGTAGAATAAATCCATCAAAAATACCTTTACAAAGAAAGAAAAAAAATATTTAATTTTAAAAAAAATCAATTTAAATTTGTATCTCCATTTCTTTAAAAGTTACTCCAATCCAATTAATGGAAACATTTGAATCTAAAATAAAGTTAATTTCTAAAGATACACATTTCAATAATATCCTTGAGGAGTGCACAATTATGTAGATTTTCTCAGTGTATAGAGATGGAAAAGGGAAGGCGACTTGGTTGGCTGGAGTCGAGATTCGGTTTTGTGGCTGTGACGCAGATAAGCAAAAGTTTCGCTCAGTTCTTGAGTTGAAGTTTATGTGGGGATGTGGAAATGTGGAAATGCGGACTGAAGAGAGTGCAGAGTGGCAACCGAATCAGAACTGAGAAATCATGTCATTTGGCAGGCAGCGCCGCAACATTTTGCCGCTTTTAATGTTAGCCAAACTGTCAGATGATGTTGTCTGCCCGTCTGTGTTTCAATATATTTCCCTTCCCCTTTCTTTCCATCACTCTCTCACTTAAACGCCAAACAATGCTAGCGTAGCTGCAACATGTTGCAACATATTTCAGCTGCAGGGCTCTTCAACTTGTCAAAAGCGCCGATAAGTAAAGCGGGCAAACTTATCGATAATTTATTGAATTATTTTGTTGGTTGCAATAAATAAAGTTAAGATTACAACCAAATTTTATACTTCTGATATTGGTTGTAATAAGCATCACTAAATTATTTATAACCATAAAAAACCTTTAAGAAATGTATTTTAATAATAAACATTTAAATAATAAAAATGTAATAAATAATAAAAATAAAATAATTACAATATTCTGCGTCTTGGCTTTCTCTCTTTATTATTTAATATTTAATTTCTAATTACTTACCATCATTTCGCGTTCACTTCCCTAATCCTATCGCCATTGCTGCTGGCTTACTTTCTCCACTGCCCACATCCGATCCAATCGGATTTCCTTCCTGCTTTTCTTTTCCTCGGTAACACGAAACGCCATTGCGTATTTTTCAAATAATTAAATGCTAAACATGAAGAGCAGCAGCCAGAGGCAAAAAAAGGGGCAACAAAAAAGGAAAGTTGTCGCGACATCAAGACACCCAGAAACTTTTTTTCGCCTCCCTTTCGGAAGCTCAAGTTGGGAACCAGATGATGATAATGGTGATGATGATGAAAGTCAAGACAGTCAAGCCGGTGGCAACTTGAAGCCAACTTAGCCAGTCAGCTGAAACTGTTGCCCGGCCAAAAAGGTAAGCTGCAACGGCAGCCCAGATAAACCTTTATCAAAAGTTGCACCGCCCACTCATCCACTCATCACACCTCCCGCCCCCTGCGATTATCCTTCCAAGTCAGTTGCCGTAAGGCGACACTTTTAGAGCACTCAACTCTCCTCTCTCGCCGTGTGACAGTTCATAGTTCACAAAGCGACAATGGGACAAACAAACAAAGAGGCAAGCGAACAAACAAACAAACGGTGCGAGGAGACTGCTGTCCTTCAGCTGCCAGGCTCCACTGCTTTGACATTTGCCACCTGGAACGTTTCTTCGTTGCCCTCTTTTTTTTCCGGGCAAAGTTTTACCAACTTGTCGCCCACTTTGGCATTGAATATTGCCTTGGCTTAGCCGGTGCTCAATAGATTTCCAACTAATTTGTGAGAAAGTGAAAAGTTTATGATTTTAAGACGAAAATTGCCAATTGAATTATTTGTTTTTGTATGTATTGAAAATGAAACTACTCAATGGATTAGCTAATTACTATAGTATATTGTTTAATGTTATGTACTGGAAGAAGCTAATTTTATTTGAGCTTAATGGTTCTGATGATCTTTGGTGTTGATTTCCTCAACGGCTCGGCTGAAATTGCGCATACGCCACGTGGTATCACGGGAAATTGCATGGCAGTGACAAGCAGCAAACGCTAAATAGCTCTTTACGGGTGGGATGATAAGTTAGGGATTTTTTAAAAGCAATTAAGAAAATCATACAGCACTTATAGTTTAAAAACCAGTAAAAGGAAATAAATACATAACAGAAATCTTCTAGTTATTGAGTAAACAACAAATAATTAGCTATGCAACCACAACTTTTCTGGCACCCCTCGCCGTTCAGTCAACTGGCTCATTCAAGTATCCTACTTCATTTCACTCATTAAAAGCGGCACCCGGGAAGCGGCAAAGGCAATGATGGAATGCCAGCACAATCAGCTAACCAAACTTAACCAGGGAAATCCCCCAATGCCCTTGTGACCCCCTTGTGACCTCCTCCTCACACATACGCACCCCGGCACAGATCCATTAACGTGTGTTCGAGTGATAAAAGGTGTGGAAAAGGTGGGAACATTTTAAACGCAGACCAGAGAAAAGCCCTAATGGCAGTTTGTATCTTCATCTGTTAAAGTATCTGAGGTTTGGCATATGGATTTGAATTATAGATAGTTTTAAATAGAGATTTTTAGATGGATATAAAATAAGGTAAGGTTTATGAATAACTAAAAATGATTAAAATAAATTAAGTTTACAAAAAAACAGTTTATGTTTAAGGTAAATTCTAGTCAAAAGTCCCAAAACTTAAAAGAAACTATTATTTTAGGCCTGAAAACTAATCTTTAATATGGTTTTCCACTCGATTTAAAGTGTGACGAAATTTATTTTGTTCCACCAAGCAGACTAGATTACGATTAGTCGGATTCCAGAATCATTAAAAAAATGTCGACTTCGGAGGTGACTTCCCTTCCCACAGAATTACCTCCTTGCGCCGTAGGATTCACCTGGGTCGTTTTAATGAATGCCTGCCTGCCGGATATGGCACGCACTAGAAGGAGTAAATGCAAGGTGAGTAGGGTTTTTCGACCTCTGGAAGATCATATTCCAAGAATGGATTTTCCTAGCATGGCTACTACTACCACGAGAGATTCCAAAAGTGCATGCGTCGAAGGTACGACAAGGAGCAGCAGCCCGGTGTCATAAGAAAATGGATGACTCGTACGCCAAAACCAATGAGAGTGACGAGAAAACCTCGGATTAGTACCGCAGCTCCCTACGATGGCACTTGGGTCGGCTACAATGCTGGATACGGAAAGGATGTGCCTTGGGGTTCAGCCAAATAATAAGTAGTTGGGCTTCTAAATGTATATAAATAAAGTGTCAAAGGTATCTATTTATGGGATTCAAATAAAAGAAAATATAATATTTTTAAAAATATTTAATTTTAATCCAAGTGGAAAATTAGCATAGCAAATTAATTGGAAATGGTTATGTTATGATATAAGGTTTTTATATATACTGGAACAGGTTTAGTTATTCAAAATCAAGAGGTTATTCTTGAGCAGCAAAGCAACTGCTTGCCTGCGATGGAGCGTCCAATCCATTAATTGCTCAGAACTTTTTAGTGAATAGTCCGATTTGAATTGAATAAAATTTTTTAAGCTAAGCAGTCAAGACTAGTTATTTCCTTAAACTAACGAAACTGAAAACCAACCAACTGAAAACCCTTTCTTTAATTTTCCATTGCAGGTACGTTCGCTGATTTGACGACAATGAGGGGAAAAGCACACTTGCCAAAACAAATGTCACGTGAGCCACACAAACTTTTCCTTGCCCCCTTCGTTCTGTAAATCTGGCTATAGTTTTGTTTTTCCTTTGCCGCTTCTGGTTCATCATGGCAGCACATAGAAATATTTGGCTACCCGACAGCATAATATTTTTTTGTTGGTTTGCTTTTCCTTATTTCCTCGTGATTTTTTTCTGCGCTCTACGATTTTCTCTCAACCCGATCCGTGATTTGGCAGCCTGAAATCACGTAAGCCAAGAGGGGAAAAAGGGGAAGGTAGTTCCGTCATGTGTCTGCGTCTACTTTGCTCTGATTACAAAACCCAACAACAGGTTCACTGAGGGAAATGAAACACTTGAATTCAATGCGCTCTTCATATAATTATTTCAGTGTAATTTTTAATTTTTTTTAACAATATTGTAGTTTTAGAAAAATGTTTAAATATAAATTTAAAATTAAGTATTCACTTAAACAAAGCATATAATATATGCCATATATAACCTCAAGTAAAAATTATATTTTGAATTTAAATTCACTTAAGATTTTTAAAACAATAAAGAAAATATTGATTAAAGATAAATTACAAGAAATATCTTAGAAAATTTAGAATAGAGTTTTTAAACAATTTGAATATTTAAAAAAAACTTAAAGTATTCTCCAAAATTTTTGTAGTATTTTTATTGAATGTTAATCAAATTGGTTAATATTTTTTCTCCCAGTGCAAGGGCAAAAACAATTTGGCAGCCGGGCTCGCGCGCTTTGTTAACGCCCGAGCGACCCTCGAATTCTTTGGATGTGGATGGTGGATGGTGGACGAGGATGTGGATGTGGATGCGAGATGCAGTTCAGCCAGTTTTTGTCCTTCTGCACCTCCGCTGCTTTCCCTTCGTTTTGCCAACTTTGTTTTAAGTGAAAATTGAAACTGAGCTCAGCAACTGTCCGATGGCTTTTTATTTGGTGATTGCTTAGCTGCTGCTCCTCCGCCACCTCCTCGTCCCTTTCAAAAATCGTGTAACTGAAAACTCAAAGCAAACGAAAAATCTACGTGACACCAACGGAATGCCAGAAAAAGCTCTTTTGAAGAAGGGGTAAAAGAAGGGAGAAGGGACAACACATGCAGGGCAAACAACTACTGAGGGTTTCTACTTCGATGGGCTTTCTTAAGGCTCTGCGACAGCATCTTTAACGACAAAGAAGACCAACATACCATACATCAAACTATATATTCAAATAGCGGCTTATTCATTCACGTACAAATAATATAAAATTTACATATTTTTACAGGCCTTGAAAAAGATCAGATCAAATTAATCCTGGGACATCTAGTGAAGTAAAGCCTAGCTTTTTATATAGGATGAAGCCTTTGAAATAATATCCTAAAAATGTAAAGGACTACTTCCTTTTGTTTCTTTGTGATCTTTCTCTGGTAGCAGGACTCTGTCGCATCTTTGGCTTAGGTGTCGATGGACTACGCATTTTGGGGCAGTTAGGCTCATGACAATTGGTTTGACTGAAGTTGGCGTTGTTATCACTTCCATATTTTGAATTGACGTACATAATTCGCGCTTCCTGATTTTTCTTGGCCTTTTCCGCGGGCAAACAAATCTTCCGGATAACACTGGGCTTCAGGCTGCAGGGAAGGCTGTGCCTTCTGATGTGTCCTGCCGACACTTTCACAGTTTTCCGCTCCTGATTTTTCCGATTTTTCCGCGGCTGCGACTTAAAACACCCTCGCGATCCCGTCAATATTTCTTTTAAAGTCTATGCAATATAAATGTAATAAATAAACGAATACACAACATTTTAATATGAGAGTGAGTTTTGATTATGGTTTTATCTTACCTGCTTCTTGGTTTTACGCGGAGCCATGTTTTTTTTCTTTTTATATGCCTTACTTAAACTGAGAATTTTAAAAAAATCTATAAAATTTTTTTAGTTTCTAACCGTCTAGTCTAAAATATATTGTGATATGGAGTAGAATTTGTTAAACGGAATAACTTCAATACCAAAGGGTACTTGTTTAAAAAAAAAATGTTCTTCATTTTACACCGCTTTTTATTGAGTCTTTTATTTTAAAAACAATTTAAGTTTAAACAAATTTATCTACTAAAGTTAGGTTAGTGACATAAATACGAAATAATTTAGCAAATCTTAAAAAATTCTCCGTTGACCATTTCCTTACTACAAATATTTTATTTAGGGATATTTTCTGAACTCAAAAGTTCTTTTTTCTTCCATTTTTCTCAAGTTACCCTAGTGCAGTAGGCACTGTGGATAATCGAACGATTTCTCAACTTTTGCTAGCAGTTGACCAAATCAAGGGAAAAAACGCATAAACAAAAATAGTAAGCTTTAAACGCTTTTCAACACTTTCCGGCTGAGATCCTTGGAAACTCAGGTGGAACTCAGCCCGGACTCGGTTCCTCGGACTCCAAACTGCAAACTCCACCCCCCGCTTATTGACTTTCAAGCTCAGTTTACTTTCCCGACGCTGTTTGACTTTGAGCTTGGCCAGAAGAACCTGCTGCCCCCGGAGCTGCCAAACAGAAGGCTGCAGGCCAACTGCTTGAACCGGAGGAGGAGTTCTGTTCTCGGGGAAAATATTTTATGCTGTGCACGGTGAAAATTCACATAATTGCAGTTGGAATTCAACAAACAACAGCGGAGCGTAAATAGAAAGCGCAAAGTCAACAGAAAAGCGATAGCAAAAAAATACTGCAGAATGCTGAATCTTGGTAAGAATGAAAAATAAAAAAATACGAGGGATAGAATCAGCAACGTCACCGCAACAACAGCAGCAAATACAAACAAACAAACTAACCTTTGACCCCCGACCCATCCTTCTTGGTGTCCTTGTTGTTGTTGTCCACTTCAGGTGCGCCAAGTAATTGCAACTGAAACTGAAACTTGGCTAAGTTGCCAAGGAAACGAATTGCAGCTAAAATTGGAGCTGAAGGCGAGGAAGAAGAAGAAGAAGGAGGAGAGCTTACTGTACATCCTGTGTGGAGGATGCGGAAGATCCAGGACATTCAGCCAAGCCAACAACACATGCACACACAAAAGCATTTCGATGCAGGTCATTGCGGCTAAATTAAAAGAAATCAACGCAGGTCGATCGGGCGGAGGATGAAAAGGGGGGCTAGTTACCCAGAGGGCAGGGGGTGGGATTTCCCAGGAACCGAGGGTTGACAATATAAGCAAAGATAAAGAATAAAGGACAGAAAATAGAGCGGCAAATGGAAAAGCTGCAACTTGAACTGCTGCAGTCTGTCGTTGATTTTAATTAAAATCTTTAAGCTGGTGTTGATTATTAATTATAATGCCACTGTGCCAGTGCTGCCAACTGACGCAGATAATGATAACAGGGAGGAAATTATAAATAGTCCTTGAGTAGCTTTAAATTGTAGTGTTAGTGCTAAAGTATCCGATAAAGTTTAAGGATTTATAGAGGAAATAATATGTTGGGATTTTTAAATTACTCCAAGACAACTAGAAAACTAAAAAATCAAGAGCAAAATTGCTTGAAATCAGTCTTTTTTATTCTCACATTTTCAGGGAAAAATGTTTTCAAAATCAAGCGTAAAATGCTCATTATTATTATTGATTTCGTTTATTCTCTCTAAATCAAGATCGATTAACTCTTGAAAACAAGAGTGTTTAAGCATAAATTAGACTAAAACACAACTCTAAAAAAAGCTACACCATTTTACTCCACCTAAATTATAATTAAAAAGAAAGCCAAAAAACATTAATTCCAATCAAATCTGTGCACATTTTACAGTGCTAAAACCAAAGTGAACTCACCTTGAAATTAAAGTTACTAAAAATGATTTATGTAAATTGAACGCAACACAAAAAACACTCTTGAGCAAACAAATTTAAGCAATTTGTCAAAAGAAAACAAAACACAAAAGCCCAAACAACATCAGCAAGCCAAATCCAAACATAAATAAAGCACAAAGTGTCAGGCGGACGAACGGACGGACAACCGAACAAACAAACAAACAATCGTCCCACACCTGCCACGCCCCCCTCAGCATTTGTGGGCGGGATGGGCCAAAAATCGAGGGGCGGCTGGGATGCTTTTAAGCTGCCAAATCCGACAATTAAATTATTGCATGACAAAACATGCACCGCAAAATATTCAAAGCGCGCCAAAAACAGGATGTAAACAACAATAACAGCAGAACAAGGATGGAAAAACAGGAAAAACCTCAGAAAACACACACCCACACAGACGAAGGGAAAACATCAACAGCAACTAGCCAAAACATAAACAAAAGCAAAAAAAAGCATTGAGGAAAAACTGAAAAAAAGAACAGATTCATCTTCCGCAACAAGAACAACAAAGGATAGCAGAAAAAAAGGAAAACTTTTGGCATAGGAAAATCCAAAAGGAAGGAATCAAAAAAAAAAGAAAGGAGCGACATATTCCCGGGTTTTCCCCCCTTTCGGATATAGCTCATGGCAATAATTTGAAATTCGATTACCATAACCAAGTACTCGGAAAACACAAACAGAGATCGCAGGGGCAGCACACACACACACGGAATTTTCCCCAAAAAAAATTGGAAAAACTGGCGGGAGAGCGGGAAAAGCGACATTCTCGACGCCACAGGCGAAAAACTGCAAATGGCGAAAACGTTCGCTAAAAGGTCGCCACATCAGACTGGCAACAGGGAAAAATGAAAAAAGAGACCAGAAAGAAAACAAAAAGCTGAAAAGCTAGTGCACACACGGTCAAAACTGTGGCCAAAAAGCCAAAACGTGAATATATCAGAATTTTCTGGGCAAACGAGGCTCGACCGCAAACAAAAAATTCTTCTAAATATGACAGAGTGTGTGTGAGCCGGAAAAGCCAACTCTTCAATAGAGTCTGCGGCCTTATGTTGACGAAGTTCAATACTCCTCATCAAAATTTAATACAATTTAAAATAAGAAAAAATTAAAATTTTTATTTACTCGTGCATTTTTTTTATAAAAATAAACTGAGGATAATAAAAAATATGATTTTAAATATATTAAAATAAATATTTTTCTAAGCCAAATCCGTGAAAAAATATATTACTTATCTACAATAATTTAATATTTTGGCTTAAAAAACACTAATAGAAATGTTTTAAAATATTTAACCTAAATCCCACTCATATTGAAAATATATGTATCTATTATTTTTTCTGCTGTTTTGTGTATATTTTTTGGGTTTTAAAAATAATTACAAACTCCTTTGCGTTTTGCACAAAATTTAAAGGACTTGAAAAGTAAAGAATTTCTTATAAATTAGAAATCGATTTTTGATACTAAACCTAGTAAAGTAAAATGCTCTTGTGTTTTTCTTACCCGCCAGCTTTGAACTTCCCCCCTGTCGAGCGATTTCAATTACAGCCAATTAAGCGAAAAAGCGGCAGTGGCAGACAAAGAAGCTCACTTACAAATTGCAAAAAACGGCCAAAAGATGCTAACAGCGGCAGACACACAAGCTAAGGCCGTCCACCCACCCGACGCCCATTTTTCCACCCCCACCCCTTCGCACTCACACATGCAAGCGTTTTGCACCTTGCGAAGTCGAAACTTTTTATCCGCTTTTCCACTCGCGTCTTTCGACCTAACTCCCCCTTTAATGCGGCGAAAATGTTAAAACAAACAAACAAATAAATTAGTGTTCAATCAGCGTAATTTCTTCGACTATGCAGTCTGGCTGCCACGCCCCCCGCCACCCCAGGGGAAGCCACCCACCGCCCACTTTTCGGGAAATCCACCCAAGCATGTTTGCCTTTTGTCTTAGGGCTTGATATGCGATTGTAACTTTGGTTTCAATTGCAATGCAAGTAGCGGAGATGGGTGGAAAAAGGGGCGAAGGTTGGGTTGTGCAAACTTTTCACCCTGCAGTTAGTTGTAAGTAATTAAGCAAAGAAGAAGAACAAGGTTGTGGCAGCGGCAGGGGGCGTGGCAAGGGGCCGACGAAATGGAGGGCCAAACAAACGAAATTTTCGGTAATTTGCTTAATTTGAATTTGAATGCAAGCAACGCGATTGGAACAAAGTTCAATGAAAAATAGTAAAACAAATGGGAAATAAAAAAGGAGTCAGTGTGCTAATAAATTTAAGAATAATAGGAAAAGTATATACAGTCTTGTAAATGGTATTTCCTTTTTCTTAAATGCAGTAAAAAGTATTTGATTTGGAAGCTAGGTACCTATTTTAAAATAGTATTTTCAAATTAAAGGATAACGTAAATATTTATATTTATAAAATATTTATTTTTCCATTTGCAATATATTTAAAATTATTTCTTTTCAATTTTTATACAGCTTATTAATATTTTCTAAAATATTAATTGCTACTTTCTATAAAATCTAAAAAAATAAATAAAATTGGGCATAAAATATTGGGTTTTCTTTACTAAATAAAATAAGAACTTATTCAAACATTTTTTTTTATTCCCTTCAAAATTTTCTAAATTTACAACATTTTGTTGGTCTTTTTCAGAATATTGTAAACTTTTTTCAAAAATTAGTTTTGAGTTATGAAACTTTCGTTCACACATTCCGAAACATTACGAGGTGTTTAAGACCTGAAAAGAACACTCGGAATTGGCATTGCAACCCCCGATAAAAGTGGGAACAATCGTCCCGATGAAATATCTCTAGACGAGTCCACTCAAACTGGAGATTGAGTTTCGCTCAAGAGCAACCCCCGCGATGACCGGAGATACACTCGGTAGTATTGAGTGCTAAACGATCCATGGGGAACTTTGCGAGGGGGAATTCCGAGTGAGTCAACTTGTGCGGCACCCACGCAGATAAACGTATGTATATTTACTCGATCCCGCTCTTCGGGAGTTTCTTAAGAGCAGCGAGAAGATAGCTGACTCAGGTTGCAATAATCGGAGAACCAAGAAGTAGGGGGAGTTTGGGAG